TGCTGCTGCTGCTGCTGCTGTTGCTGTTGCTGTTGCTCGTCGCTGCTCGCGACCAAGTTCTTCTTCGGCTCCGGTTCGCTGGAAACGTCCGCTGCCGCACGCTGTTCGAACCACTCGGGCTGTTCGTTGGTCTTTGCCTGCTTCGTCGACTGCTGTTGTTGTTCCCTGCGTTCCTCGCTTCCTCCTACGCGTTGACTCGACGGTCGTCGCACGGTCGTCGTCTCCTCGTCGTCACCGTCACCGTCACCGTCACCGTCACCGTCACCGTCACCGTCGTCGTCGTCGCCGTCGTCGTCGTTGCCCTCGCCGTCGCACAGCGCGTCCACCTTCTTTATCACGCTCTCGATGTTCACCTCCTTCGCCGACCAGTAGTCGCTGTCCTCCTTCGCGTCGGCCGGATCCTCCTTGTTGATGGACGCCGCGTCGATGGCCAGGGGATCGGTGCTCGGTTCTTTCAACGGATCCTCCGCCGGTTCTTCCTCCAAGTCCGCTTCCTCGTTCTCCTTCGCCATCTCCTCCTCTTCTTCCTCCTCCTCTTCCTCCTCCACTTCTTCTTCTTCTACCTCCTCCTCCTCCGCCTCCTCTTCCTTCAACTCAGATTTGATCGACGACGGAATCTCCACTTCCATCGACTTTTTCGCAACGACGAGGCGATCGTCCTCCTCCTGCTCCTCGAGGCAGGACGGTTCGAACTTTTCCGACTTGACCGGTTGCTGTTCGAGCTTTGGTGGTTTTAAATCTACCGAGTGGTGGTAGTGATGATGATGGTGGTGGTGATGATGGTGGCGGTGGTGGTGGCAGTATTCGGACTCGTTGCTCGAGAACTCCAGCTTGATTGCTTGATTATTCTCGTGCTTGGTGACGTCGGACGGCTCGTCCTTCGCAACAACGTCGACGATCGGCTGAGTGGGTTGCACCGGAGGAGTGAGTTGCATTGGTTGGGCCGTTTGCGCGTTCTGCGCTTCCTGCGGATCGACGTGCAACAACTCTTGCTCCGACGGTAGGCGCTGCTGCTGCTCGACGACGCTGGCGGTAGTGATGGGTGATGGGTGGTGATTGTTGTTTTGTTGCTCGACGACGGAGGATGGTACGGTCGTCGTTCTGGCGACGATGGCCGCTTGCTGCGGCTGCTTGGCGACGTGGTGACTCGGTTGCAGAATCGGCGAGTGCCTCTGGCCGGTGGTGTTGAGAGATGACAGCGAGGTCGGCGCGATCACGCACTTCTCCTCGGACTGCGTCACCATTGTCGTCACGGTGGACGTGATCTGTTGCTGTTGCTGTTGCTGTTGCTGTTGCTGCTGCTGGGGAACTGATACGGGTACCACCGTCTTGATCAACGGTTGATTCGTCGAGGAAACCGCGGACGCTCCGACGGTGTGTACGACGGACTTGTGGACCAGGTGGGACTGTCCGTGAGCGACAATCACGGGGCTAGGCGTGGACGAACGTGGCACGTGGGTGGTCAAAAGCTGAAGGCTCGCCATCTCTTGCTTCTGCCTAGGCGACAGCAGATTGTTGTCGGCAGACAATTGTTTCTGAGCTCTGGATGACAGAGAGGAGCAAGTTTCTCCGACGCTGGCCGATTTCCCGAATACCACCAGGTTGGACGTGGTGCCGCCGGCGTTGATCTCGATCTTGGCCGTTTCTGGGATGTAGGTGGGCGGCTGGTTAGGCGACGGGACCTTGGGCGAGGTGGAGGCCTTGTTGGTTGGTTCTGGTATAACAGCCGGCGACAATTTCGGCTCGTCCAAACGTTGCGGAGGATCGTTCGGATTAGCCGGGAGCAACGTCTCGATGACGGACTTGCCGCCGCCGCCGCCGCTGCTCTTGACTTGCACGCCACCAGGAGCCAACGGCGGCACAGCCATGTAAGGACGATGCGGAATGTTGAGCGTCAACGGTGGCAAGCCACCCCTCGGATGACTGGGCGCTAGAGCTCTCATGCCAGGCGCGTGCTGAATGACCG